AGGCTTTTCTATATTTGATTTTACGTCCATATTTTGGTTTTTGTTCTGCACACAATCTTCGCTTCTCCATATCTGGTATATTTAAAACTGCTAGGTTTTCTCTATGTGGTGTTTTTTTTTCCTAGGTCATCTCTCCTTAGATCTCTTCTGCAGCCTGAATCTGTACGACTGGATTGGTTGTGCTTGGCAGTTTCTCATGATGCACCACAAAGAACAAATACTGTGGATGCAGAAGGAAATCCCAGGTAAAGAAGGGTTCACCCAAGGTCCTGAGTGCAGCAAAAAGCTTTAACAGGTCTGCAGGCTTTTGTCCTCAATTTGGTTGGATGTCACTGAATCCTTTGAGCACTTTGTATAGTGCAGAGTTCAGCAGAAGCAACCAAAAGATTAAATAATTTCATCTGTGGTGCTTTTCAGAATGACTGCTCTACTGAGACTACACAGTGTCTCATTTGTTTTTTCCTTCTCTCTATTCATATACCTGCCTTTCTTGTAGAGAGAACATAACCTTCTGAAGAAAACCATTAATGCTTTAAAACTGAATTTCTCATCTTCCAGGCCACGATCGCATTTATTTACTTGGGGCTACAGCCAGCTCATTCTGCTTTTGATTAAACTCCCAGCTGATTTTGTTACAAAAGAGAAGATGGCTGACATCTGTAAATCACATGGGTAAGAAGAAAACTTGGTAATTCTTGGTATTTGGTTAGTTGGTATTCTGACCCCCCAAAAAATACAAATGACAACCTCCATTTGCTGCTTACTTGAACAGGTTTTACTTAAAAACCTTTCATGGTTTGAGGATGAATATTGACTGTCCAATTTAACGTACCAAATACCCCTTTTGCCTAAGGGGTATTCCGTGTGTCCCCACTGCAGTGGTTTCTGGCATTCATGAAATTCCATTGCTTCTGTCTTCTCTGATATTTAAATGAGCATTTAATTATTGTTGACTTTAGTTTAGACTGAGTATTTGATTCCTGGAAATATTTACTCTCTTATTCAAGATTCTGGCCTGGATATCTTTTTCTCTGTCTGGAGCTGGATAGAAGAATAGAAGCCTTTACTAATATTGCTCATTTGGATGATTTGAGCCTGTTGAATGGAGAAGATGGTTAGTGAGTCTTAAGCTGTATAAACATACTTCTGTGATATAGGAACTGCCTTTATTATATACTGATTCAGTTAGTCCAAAGTTGAGTTGAGCTTTTATTTTTTGCGGTGTTTTGGTAACGCTTAATTGTGTAGTGCAGGATATTTGAAACACATGAATGGGTGTTACACTCTTGTATCTTCATACTGTACTTTGTGAAATCAGTTGTGCTAGAAAATGCTTAAAAATTCAAGAATGTAGAGTTGCTTTTCAGCTGGGAGTAAGAGCTAAACGTGGTGTTGTAGATAGAGGAATAGCTGGCCTCCCTGCAGAGCATGAAACTCCCCCCACTACATGTGCAAACACACAAAGTTAATGACCAGCAAAGCTTTCTATCACATGGCAGAACTTAGGGCTATTGGGAATTTTCTTCTAAGATGGACAAAACAATTCTTTATCTCTTGACTTAATCCAAAACTTTAAATAATGAACTATTGTGAAGCTTTGTGTGGAGTTCATGACTGAATCTTTACACTGAGTCAGTCAAGGCAGTACGTTTCTGTGTAAAGCTTCCTTTTTAAGTACAGATATATTTAAAATAGTTGTCTTAGAACAATCTTTGTTTTACAAATAATGCAACAAATTCATTTTACATTTAGGTGCCATTCCAGAGACTATAGAAGAGTGGAAGTTTCTTCTGCATCTTGCACAAAATCACAGCACCGCTTTCCACCACGGCCCAGGGAATGGGAATGCTGTCAGCAATGGTAGCCCGAGCTGCCCAGACTGCATCACTGTAGAAAACGTAGCTCTCTTACTGGCAAAGGCCATTGGCCCAAATCGTGCATTGCCTCTCTTGCAGGAGTGTGGCTTGACACAAGAATTGTCTGAGAGATTTACTGGTGTCTGTGAGATACTGAAGATTGCTGAGAAAAGGCAAAGGTAAGAAACATCAACAGAAGATGCGTGTACGCATCCTGTTCATTTTTAGATCTTCTTGGTGCTTTAAACTTTCTTTTCAGTTAATAAAAAAAATATAAAATAGTACACATTTTTACCTCAGACTTTAAACTCGACTGAAAGCTTTTCTATTCTTTAAGAGCTGTGTATTGTGCAATATAGGCATTTTTAAATGGAAAACAAGGAAACAGGAGATCACACATTAAAGATGTATGTGAAGGAGATAGCTGTCTTGCTGAGTCCTACACAGACTCTGATCTGGCCTGTCCCTTCCAGAGAAGGCATGCATGGTGATGTCATGATGTTACTTCTGAAAAACGTTCATATTTTTGACAAACTTTTCTGTAAAATCAAACCAAAACTCTGTTGTTCTTTCTGTTTTTAGCTTTTTTTTTTACTGTTTGACTTTGTTTCTTCTCCCCTTTGCTTCAATTGCAGAGCGCTGATTCAGTCCATGTTGGAAAGGTGTGACCGGTTTTTGTGGTCTCAGCAAGCATAGAAAACAACTTGGAAAACTTTGGGAACCTTTTTTACTGTAATGATTTTATATTAAAGTGCCTTTTAAACTCAGAAGGCTCTTAAATGAACTCCTCTCTAGAAGTTCAGTTATATTGAGCCAGTCTCCATCTGGCAGGTACCTGACTGGGAACTGTGGATGATTCTGATTGCTTTGGAATGAGTTTTGAACTCTAGAACTTAAATCAAAACAACTTAGTATTTATCTTGAAATTAACCTCACATTTCTGAGAAGAAAATTGCTGAGTTTATTTTCCGAGTCTATATGACTTAAGTGTTAAGGATAAGACCCCTAAGTATTAAATTATGGTGTAAAAAATTGTTTGTTTGTTTATTTGCAAACATGAGAAGCTATTCCTTGCAAATATCTAAGTCCATACTTGTTTAATTATCCTGTAAATTGCATTGACTTTTTCAAGTTACTGCAGAAGTGCTTTTTCTGATACTTTTTTTTTTTTTCCCCACTTCAATTATATGGACTGATCTGGCCCATTTGAAAGGCATTAATTGAGCCAACTCTTAAAATGGAAGGGAAATATTTTTTAGGAGTGGATTAATGGTTAAGACTGCTGATTAACAGAAGAACTTGTTAAATGAACTCATTGTTAAACTATACGCATGACATTTCTAAATTGCTCATAATCTGTTTGTGCAACATGACTACAGATATCAGTTGTGATATTTCAACAAAGCTCTGGACAGTGGAATTGGAATCATAGAATCGTTTAGGCTGGAAAAGACCCTTAAGATCAAGTCCAGCCATTCATCTACACTGCCAAGTCTGCCATTAAACCATGTCCCACATCTACAAGTCTTTTAAATACCTCCAGGGATGGTGACTCGGCTGCTTTCCTGGGCAACCTGTTCCAATGCTTGAGAAGCCTTTCAGTGAAGAAATTTTTCTTAATATCCAATTGAAATCTTCCCTGGTGCATCTGAGGCTGTTTCCTCTTCTCCTATTGCTTCTTACTTGGGAAGAGAGACCAACACCAGCCTCTCTACAACTACCTGAAAGGAGGTTATTAGGGAGCAATAAGCCTCCTTTTCTCAAGCCTAAACAACCCTGGTTTCCTCAGCAGCTCCTCATAAAACTTGTGCAGTAGACCCTTCATCAGCTTTGTTGCCCATCTTTGGATATACTCCAGCACCTCAGTGTCTGTCTTGTAGCAAAGTGCCCAAAACCCAACACAGTATTTGGGATGTGGCCTCATCAGTGCCCTATACAGGGGGACAATCACTTCCTTAGTCCTGTTGACCACACTATTTCTGATACAAACAAGGATGCTGATGGCCTTCTCGGCCACCTGGGCACACTGCTGCTTGTATTCAGCTGGCTGTCAACCACCAGCCCCAGGTCCTTTTCCACCAGGCAGCTTTCCAGCTACTCTTCCCCATTGGTGGATCCTAAGTCTGTAGCGCTGCATGGGATTGTTGTGACCCAAGTACAGGGCCCAGCACTTGTCCTTGTTGAGCCTCATGTCGCTGGCCTTGGCCCATCAATCCAGCCTCTCCACATCCCTCTGTAGAGCCTTCCGACCCTCCAGCAGGTCAACACTCCCACCCAGCTTGGTGTCATCTGCAATCTTACGGAGGGTGTACTCGATCCCCTTGTCCAGATTATTATTGATAAAGATATTAAACAACTGATCCCAATACCAAGCCCTGGGGAACACCACGTGTGACTGGCCACCAACTCCATTTGCCGCAACTCCTTGGGCCCAGCCCTCCAGCCAGTTTTTTACCTGGTGAATAGTATGCCCCTTCAAGCCATGAGAGGCCAGTTTTTTCAGGAGAATGATGTGGGAAACTGTGTCTGTCAAAGGCTTTGCTGAAGTCCAGGTAAACTTTGGTAATTCCACAATGAATGGTGACATTTTGGAAGGTGACAGGACCATGTGTTGTTTTTAAAAAAAAAAAAAGCCAAAGGTGTAAATAAGCATTTTTAGATGAGTGCCGCCAAGGAAGAAGTCTTTTAAAATTTCTGCTAGAATATGAAGATTCATAAAATCACTTGGATATTATTTGTCACTTAGAACTGTACTTTATACCAGCACTCTTTCTCCACTTAGTGCATCCTTGAACAAGTTTCTTCTTAGGCTTCTAGTTTTCACCCTCTTCACTGTCAAACTCTCACGTTTTTAACAGAAGGCCACAGTGTCTGGTCAATATTTGATTTTTCACAAATGCCATTTAAACAAAAAAATTAACATGAATTGGAATGAAATTTTATTTAAATCCATGATTTTGTCATGAAATTGCTTGAAAATATTTCTTTATAAAGCATCTTTTTGCATAGTCTTGCAGCATGTGTAGTGCTGTGAAATAATGCTTTTATTTTTATCACAATAGGACTTAGTACAACTCTCAGACTTAAAAAAAAAAAACAAACTGGAGGAACCCAACCTACTTGATGGTTTTCTGTGGTCCTTTCAGTTTCTAAAAATGTAAATCATTCTAGGCTTTTCTATATTTGATTTTACGTCCATATTTTGGTTTTTGTTCTGCACACAATCTTCGCTTCTCCATATCTGGTATATTTAAAACTGCTAGGTTTTCTCTATGTGGTGTTTTTTTTTCCTAGGTCATCTCTCCTTAGATCTCTTCTGCAGCCTGAATCTGTACGACTGGATTGGTTGTGCTTGGCAGTTTCTCATGATGCACCACAAAGAACAAATACTGTGGATGCAGAAGGAAATCCCAGGTAAAGAAGGGTTCACCCAAGGTCCTGAGTGCAGCAAAAAGCTTTAACAGGTCTGCAGGCTTTTGTCCTCAATTTGGTTGGATGTCACTGAATCCTTTGAGCACTTTGTATAGTGCAGAGTTCAGCAGAAGCAACCAAAAGATTAAATAATTTCATCTGTGGTGCTTTTCAGAATGACTGCTCTACTGAGACTACACAGTGTCTCATTTGTTTTTTCCTTCTCTCTATTCATATACCTGCCTTTCTTGTAGAGAGAACATAACCTTCTGAAGAAAACCATTAATGCTTTAAAACTGAATTTCTCATCTTCCAGGCCACGATCGCATTTATTTACTTGGGGCTACAGCCAGCTCATTCTGCTTTTGATTAAACTCCCAGCTGATTTTGTTACAAAAGAGAAGATGGCTGACATCTGTAAATCACATGGGTAAGAAGAAAACTTGGTAATTCTTGGTATTTGGTTAGTTGGTATTCTGACCCCCCAAAAAATACAAATGACAACCTCCATTTGCTGCTTACTTGAACAGGTTTTACTTAAAAACCTTTCATGGTTTGAGGATGAATATTGACTGTCCAATTTAACGTACCAAATACCCCTTTTGCCTAAGGGGTATTCCGTGTGTCCCCACTGCAGTGGTTTCTGGCATTCATGAAATTCCATTGCTTCTGTCTTCTCTGATATTTAAATGAGCATTTAATTATTGTTGACTTTAGTTTAGACTGAGTATTTGATTCCTGGAAATATTTACTCTCTTATTCAAGATTCTGGCCTGGATATCTTTTTCTCTGTCTGGAGCTGGATAGAAGAATAGAAGCCTTTACTAATATTGCTCATTTGGATGATTTGAGCCTGTTGAATGGAGAAGATGGTTAGTGAGTCTTAAGCTGTATAAACATACTTCTGTGATATAGGAACTGCCTTTATTATATACTGATTCAGTTAGTCCAAAGTTGAGTTGAGCTTTTATTTTTTGCGGTGTTTTGGTAACGCTTAATTGTGTAGTGCAGGATATTTGAAACACATGAATGGGTGTTACACTCTTGTATCTTCATACTGTACTTTGTGAAATCAGTTGTGCTAGAAAATGCTTAAAAATTCAAGAATGTAGAGTTGCTTTTCAGCTGGGAGTAAGAGCTAAACGTGGTGTTGTAGATAGAGGAATAGCTGGCCTCCCTGCAGAGCACGAAACTCCCCCCACTACATGTGCAAACACACAAAGTTAATGACCAGCAAAGCTTTCTATCACATGGCAGAACTTAGGGCTATTGGGAATTTTCTTCTAAGATGGACAAAACAATTCTTTATCTCTTGACTTAATCCAAAACTTTAAATAATGAACTATTGTGAAGCTTTGTGTGGAGTTCATGACTGAATCTTTACACTGAGTCAGTCAAGGCAGTACGTTTCTGTGTAAAGCTTCCTTTTTAAGTACAGATATATTTAAAATAGTTGTCTTAGAACAATCTTTGTTTTACAAATAATGCAACAAATTCATTTTACATTTAGGTGCCATTCCAGAGACTATAGAAGAGTGGAAGTTTCTTCTGCATCTTGCACAAAATCACAGCACCGCTTTCCACCACGGCCCAGGGAATGGGAATGCTGTCAGCAATGGTAGCCCGAGCTGCCCAGACTGCATCACTGTAGAAAACGTAGCTCTCTTACTGGCAAAGGCCATTGGCCCAAATCGTGCATTGCCTCTCTTGCAGGAGTGTGGCTTGACACAAGAATTGTCTGAGAGATTTACTGGTGTCTGTGAGATACTGAAGATTGCTGAGAAAAGGCAAAGGTAAGAAACATCAACAGAAGATGCGTGTACGCATCCTGTTCATTTTTAGATCTTCTTGGTGCTTTAAACTTTCTTTTCAGTTAATAAAAAAAATATAAAATAGTACACATTTTTACCTCAGACTTTAAACTCGACTGAAAGCTTTTCTATTCTTTAAGAGCTGTGTATTGTGCAATATAGGCATTTTAAAATGGAAAACAAGGAAACAGGAGATCACACATTAAAGATGTATGTGAAGGAGATAGCTGTCTTGCTGAGTCCTACACAGACTCTGATCTGGCCTGTCCCTTCCAGAGAAGGCATGCATGGTGATGTCATGATGTTACTTCTGAAAAACGTTCATATTTTTGACAAACTTTTCTGTAAAATCAAACCAAAACTCTGTTGTTCTTTCTGTTTTTAGCTTTTTTTTTTACTGTTTGACTTTGTTTCTTCTCCCCTTTGCTTCAATTGCAGAGCGCTGATTCAGTCCATGTTGGAAAGGTGTGACCGGTTTTTGTGGTCTCAGCAAGCATAGAAAACAACTTGGAAAACTTTGGGAACCTTTTTTACTGTAATGATTTTATATTAAAGTGCCTTTTAAACTCAGAAGGCTCTTAAATGAACTCCTCTCTAGAAGTTCAGTTATATTGAGCCAGTCTCCATCTGGCAGGTACCTGACTGGGAACTGTGGATGATTCTGATTGCTTTGGAATGAGTTTTGAACTCTAGAACTTAAATCAAAACAACTTAGTATTTATCTTGAAATTAACCTCACATTTCTGAGAAGAAAATTGCTGAGTTTATTTTCCGAGTCTATATGACTTAAGTGTTAAGGATAAGACCCCTAAGTATTAAATTATGGTGTAAAAAATTGTTTGTTTGTTTATTTGCAAACATGAGAAGCTATTCCTTGCAAATATCTAAGTCCATACTTGTTTAATTATCCTGTAAATTGCATTGACTTTTTCAAGTTACTGCAGAAGTGCTTTTTCTGATACTTTTTTTTTTTTTCCCCACTTCAATTATATGGACTGATCTGGCCCATTTGAAAGGCATTAATTGAGCCAACTCTTAAAATGGAAGGGAAATATTTTTTAGGAGTGGATTAATGGTTAAGACTGCTGATTAACAGAAGAACTTGTTAAATGAACTCATTGTTAAACTATACGCATGACATTTCTAAATTGCTCATAATCTGTTTGTGCAACATGACTACAGATATCAGTTGTGATATTTCAACAAAGCTCTGGACAGTGGAATTGGAATCATAGAATCGTTTAGGCTGGAAAAGACCCTTAAGATCAAGTCCAGCCATTCATCTACACTGCCAAGTCTGCCATTAAACCATGTCCCACATCTACAACTCTTTTAAATACCTCCAGGGATGGTGACTCGGCTGCTTTCCTGGGCAACCTGTTCCAATGCTTGAGAAGCCTTTCAGTGAAGAAATTTTTCTTAATATCCAATTGAAATCTTCCCTGGTGCATCTGAGGCTGTTTCCTCTTCTCCTATTGCTTCTTACTTGGGAAGAGAGACCAACACCAGCCTCTCTACAACTACCTGAAAGGAGGTTATTAGGGAGCAATAAGCCTCCTTTTCTCAAGCCTAAACAACCCTGGTTTCCTCAGCAGCTCCTCATAAAACTTGTGCAGTAGACCCTTCATCAGCTTTGTTGCCCATCTTTGGATATACTCCAGCACCTCAGTGTCTGTCTTGTAGCAAAGTGCCCAAAACCCAACACAGTATTTGGGATGTGGCCTCATCAGTGCCCTATACAGGGGGACAATCACTTCCTTAGTCCTGTTGACCACACTATTTCTGATACAAACAAGGATGCTGATGGCCTTCTCGGCCGCCTGGGCACACTGCTGCTTGTATTCAGCTGGCTGTCAACCACCAGCCCCAGGTCCTTTTCCACCAGGCAGCTTTCCAGCTACTCTTCCCCATTGGTGGATCCTAAGTCTGTAGCGCTGCATGGGATTGTTGTGACCCAAGTACAGGGCCCAGCACTTGTCCTTGTTGAGCCTCATGTCGCTGGCCTTGGCCCATCAATCCAGCCTCTCCACATCCCTCTGTAGAGCCTTCCGACCCTCCAGCAGGTCAACACTCCCACCCAGCTTGGTGTCATCTGCAATCTTACGGAGGGTGTACTCGATCCCCTTGTCCAGATTATTATTGATAAAGATATTAAACAACTGATCCCAATACCAAGCCCTGGGGAACACCACGTGTGACTGGCCACCAACTCCATTTGCCGCAACTCCTTGGGCCCAGCCCTCCAGCCAGTTTTTTACCTGGTGAATAGTATGCCCCTTCAAGCCATGAGAGGCCAGTTTTTTCAGGAGAATGATGTGGGAAACTGTGTCTGTCAAAGGCTTTGCTGAAGTCCAGGTAAACTTTGGTAATTCCACAATGAATGGTGACATTTTGGAAGGTGACAGGACCATGTGTTGTTTTTAAAAAAAAAAAAAGCCAAAGGTGTAAATAAGCATTTTTAGATGAGTGCCGCCAAGGAAGAAGTCTTTTAAAATTTCTGCTAGAATATGAAGATTCATAAAATCACTTGGATATTATTTGTCACTTAGAACTGTACTTTATACCAGCACTCTTTCTCCACTTAGTGCATCCTTGAACAAGTTTCTTCTTAGGCTTCTAGTTTTCACCCTCTTCACTGTCAAACTCTCACGTTTTTAACAGAAGGCCACAGTGTCTGGTCAATATTTGATTTTTCACAAATGCCATTTAAACAAAAAAATTAACATGAATTGGAATGAAATTTTATTTAAATCCATGATTTTGTCATGAAATTGCTTGAAAATATTTCTTTATAAAGCATCTTTTTGCATAGTCTTGCAGCATGTGTAGTGCTGTGAAATAATGCTTTTATTTTTATCACAATAGGACTTAGTACAACTCTCAGACTTTTGAGAGGTGCAATCTGATTTTTTCATCTCAATTGCCAGAAAGACTATTGTGGAGGATTGGTTACTTCACTAGAGAAAACAAAGTTACAGAGAAACAATCAGTGGCAAGCTCTTGTTTGTTAATCGTGGTCCTTCTGGAAAAGCCAATACAGAACTACTTCTGAAAAAAGAGAACTTTAAATCTTTTGATGTTTAGATTTTGACATTGGAAACAGCACATTTCCTTCTATGGGAAATACCCCACGCTCCCACAGTGAAGCTTGGAACAGGAGCCAGGCACCTGCAGTGTGTGAGGAGGTTACACAAAGTAGATGGTGTTGGTGCCCGTTCTTTTACCTGCCAAATGAACACCCTGCTCTTAACTAACTCCATTCCATACAGCGCATGAATGTAGTGCGGCCTTAGCTGAGTACTGTGTTGCCCTCCTTAGAGGAAGCTGGCTGGCTTTCCAAGAATATACCTGGCCTATCTCTGTATGTAATGGTTTTACTTCATTTGCTTTGTGGATTTTGTGTACACAGCAGTCTCTTTCTTACGTCAGTGGGATTTTTGTACACTTCGGTAACTTTGAGGGTTGGGGCTTTTTTGGGTTGGTTTGTTTGTTGTTTGACAATAAATCATAAATTTCTGTTCAGAGCTTTTTTTTTTTTTTACGTTTGCGTTAGAACAGTCATATAGGTAACATAATGGGATGCATTTGTTTGAATTTGGTATCTAAAGTGAGCTTGTGTTGATCGCTTCAACTACCTTGGCTGTCAATAAAGAGTAAGAACTTACTCTTTGAAGAAGAGTTGGAAAATCACTGTCTCCTATTCTTGATACGTGTGTTTTCATCTCCTATGGATGAGGTGAAGGGACTGTGAAATGAAATGGTGGTCTGCTTAGAAGTTAAGAGTTGTACAGAGCAATGCCTTCATCTAAAGCTACGGACCCTACCAGCTCTTGTCAGCCAGCTCAGCATACGCCACTGATAGTTTAAGCCAGCCTGCGCGGGAGCAGATGAGCTGCAGCTCATCTTTGGGTTCGGTGACTGACTGTTGGTGGAGGGAACCCTTGAAAAGCAGAGGTGAATAAAGGGGGCTTTGCCTGGAGCAACTTTAAATAGACGCTGCGGTGGTGATCTTGTCGGTGTTGTCCCTTGGCCCTGTCCTGTACCCATCTCCCCTCCCCACCCCTCAAAAAAAAAAAAAAAAGCCTCACACCTGCCTCAAAACATTATTTCACTGTTAGAATCATCATCAAAACCCACGGGGAAGTAAATTTTATTTAAGATAAATGTCTGCATGTGCAATCTGTTTCTTGAAGAGGGGCCAAGTTTGCAGTGGTTCTACATGTCTATAAGCCTGAGGCCAATGCTGGTAAATGTTCCATACAGCATCATGGCAAAGCTCCTGAGGTGAATTGTTGCCAGTGTAAACTTAGATAAGGTGCTGTTACTTCCCAGAATAAGGAATAACTGCATCTATTATTGTGCCTAAGCTGGGAATTCACCTAGTCCTCTTTCTCAATCTGAGACTTACTTAGATGATTGCAAAATGCCCACATCGCAGAATGTTTGCAGAATGTGGCTTGCATTTATAGATATTTAGAATTAAAGGGCAAACAGTTTGTGGTTGCTTTTTATGTTAACTATATCAGAATGAACAAACCCAGAAAGCGGTCTCCCAGGAATGCCTATATGTGTCATGTTTACCTAGAGGGCACATGCAGCCCATGTTTTAGCACTAGGCCAGAAAGAAATAATCCCTTCATACCCTTCTGTATGCTCAGAGGCAGCTTTCCAATTTCTGTTGCAAAGGAGACAGTTTTGGCTGCAGCTTGTTTCTGTGGGCCAAGGGCTGTGACCCAGAAAGCAGGCCAAGAGGATACGGGAAAACAGTGGTCAGGCTGTTCCCAGCTGGAGCATAAAGCTGGTGCTTTACCTCAGTTACTGGAGGGAGGTCCAGCATTGCCATCACTGCTGCTGTCCTCCTTCTGGGAAGACAGGTCAAGGGGATGCAACCCAAGGTCTTCCAAAGATCCCCTCCAGCACCTGTCTTCTTGCAATTATCATAATGTTCGTGCTCTTTGCAGACAATTTTGTTTTGGAGAGAATGTAAAACACATCAGACGGCATTGGAAGACTCAGAAATGTCCTCTATGGTCCAAAAATGTCTGAGCTCTTGTAGGGAAATGTTCCTTAAGTCAGTTTTAAAGGCAATGTTCTGTTCTAGGCTCCTGGGCAAAATGGCACGTGCATTAGTGAGCCTGTATCCCGATTTACAGGAATAATTTCCTAGTCTCTTTTTTTTTTTTTAAATCAGAACTAGAAAGGGGACACATAGGGCTACTTGCACCAGCAGAGAAAGCACTTGAGCTGCTGTGTACCATAAGAGTGTAAAAGTCATCACTAGGAGATGAACAGACTTGCATCAAAACTCAGTGCTCCAGTCTTTGCAGTAACTGACCTGTTACACTATTAAGCATCAAGTTCACGAGTGGCAGGGGACAGAATTTTGTCTGGCATACTGCTTATTTTGCAAGGTTTCCTTGTCCACTGGTTTAGGGTTTAGATTCTTGTCTCAAATTGTTCCATTCAGAAATACAGTGTACTAGAGAACATCCGTCCTGCCGCTCCAGGCCTGTCTGTGGTCTGTCTCTTCTTCCCCTAAGCTAAATTCTTGTTTGAAGTCTGGTGATGCCTAGGGAAATCAGCTGCTAGCACTTTATTAGCTCAGTTTGTTCTTGCACCTCTTTTACCTCACGCCTCTGCCCTTCAGCTCCATCGGGTAATTGTTTAACGTGAGAGAGTTGTAAATGGGGCAACTACACAAACCTCTTCCACAGAGAATTTGAAGAAGCTCCCTTAGACTTGCTAAGTCTTATATATGAGTACACAATGGGGAGAGATTCCACACGTTTGTTCTACAGTGTAACTGCACTCAAACCCAGAGCTTTCTGCAGGGGAAACACTTGTGTCAGTTGTTAACCAGCAGAAGCAAGGAGGCTCCTGCATGGTGGTGCTCAAATTGTGAATTATGCCAGTAGGGCCTGACAGTTAAAATATCAATCTTATAACCTAGCAGAGTTGTGGCTGTATGGATCTGAACTTCCCCTTAGGTGAAATGTTAATTGTTGCATCAAAGATCTCCTTAGTTTAGCCCACTTGAGCCCCACTGAGCTGGTGTTGCAGCAGGATGGCTGGAAGTCCCTTGAGAAGGATCTGTGGGAGCAAGCAAAGGCAGGATGAACCATTCAGGCCTTCCTTACGGTGGAGCGTGTGTGCGCCCTATCTTAAAGCACAGGGATGTAGCTGTATGCAGTTTGCTTTGCAATGGAGTTAGAAGTGACACTTCACGTTTTGCATTCCATCAGCTCTGGGATCCACCTTGTCATCCCAGCACACATGGGAATTTCACTGAGCAGTTCCTCCAGCTGTTCTGGAAAAGCAGGTGTCCATTCCTTTTGTGCAGGCACAGGCCCAGCCTTGTGCTTCAACGTACAGAGCAGACTGTCAGGCACCTTCTCCCCCGAGCTCTGTCAAACAAGAGTCTAACACAAGTGTCACCCTTATGCCAGCTGTAACACTTCAAGCACTTCTGTCTTCGAGGCAGTTCCTCAGCCTGCTTGTTATGAGGAGCAAATAGTCCTGTGGACAGCTGAAGAAGCACCACAAACTTTCTAAAAAATTGTGTAAGAGGAACTTTGAACTTTCAGTCAGGACAAGGACAGGTTTACCGTAATGATTTCTGTGTTGGAAGTGGAGTGGGGGGGGAATTCCCAGCCATGGGCATCCTTTCCAGTTTCCTCTTTTGATGTGTTTGAATCGCTTATAAATACCCTGTCTGAGAGCACACAAGACAAGCTCCATCTCCTTTGGCTTTGCCTTTCTGCAGTGGTGAGTGATACTCTGAATTTGTGAGCTATATGCACTGTTTTTGGCTGGTATTTGGGAACAGGACTAACGCTTTAGCATGTGAGGCTTCTCTGTTCTTAGATGGGAGTAGCAGGGAATGCTAAAATGTGAGTTTCTTATGTGCATCTGCCTCTATTGTGGAGTTCTTAGTTGAGCTTGTGGTTGCACTGAGGGCATCAATCCTTGCGGGGGGAGAAGCATGTTCCTGGACTAGCCATTAGCGCTGGGGCAGCTGCCCAGGCACAGCTGGAGATGTGATGGATGCTATGTCAGCAGTCTTTCAAAGGTGCTCCAGAACTGCTCATCTCTCTGCTTGTCTCACAGCTCCGTGTCAGCCTTGTGCTGGGAACCATGAAGCTCTTTGTCTACATCGCGTTGCTCTCTCTTCTATGTGCAAGTGCTGACATGTTACCAATACTCGAAAGTGGACGATTTGCCTGGGATGCAGTGGGAGGTAAGCTGCTGTTACCATGGGCCTGTCCCCCAGGAGCCCTCTCCCCGAGCACAGGTTAGCAGCAGTCAATGGACACAGTCTTCGGAGATGCGAGTTCTGCAGCTCCACATGAGAGACTCCACTGGTTTCTGCTGCTGGAAGAGGGCCTTGATCAGCCCTGACAGGCCCTTTCTGTGGCCATACCCCAGTCCAAAGGCCAATGTTGAGAAGCACCTCTCTGTGTTACTGCTCCTTGGGCTATTCAGCTCCTGGCTGAAACGGTGCTTAACTGTTTCTGGGATGACTCGTTAAAGTCAACATCATGTCTGTTTCTCTGCTTTTTGCAGGGGCATGGGATATGCTCAGAGCATACAATGACATGCGTGAGGCAAATTATATAGGTGCTGACAAATATTTCCATGCTCGTGGGAATTATGATGCTGCCCGAAGAGGACCTGGCGGTGCTTGGGCAGCTAAAGTGATCAGGTAATGGAGCATATTTGGCTTGTTAACAGTGAGTTACTAGGGTTCCAAGCTGTTTGGTTAGAGTGAAGCCCTTTTTGACTTGTACTCAGCTTTTGACCTAGGATGAAAGTAGAGGGGAAGCGGTTACTGTCTGAACAGCCTGTCCCTGCAGGAATTGTGCCTCTCCTCCTACATGGGTGTGGGCCTTTCCTCTTGTCCTCCCAAGGCGGTGGATTCCTTACCTCTGCATTTCTGGTGACAGAATCATAGAATGGTTAGAGTTGGAAGGGACCTTAGAGATCATCTAGTTCCAATCCCCTTGCCATGGGCAAGGACACCTCCACTACAGCAGGTTACTCAAAGCCCCATCGAGCCCGGTCCTGAACACCTCCAGGGACGGGGCATCCACAACTTCTCTGGGCAACCTGTTCCAGTGCTTCACCACCCTCACAGTAAAGAATTTTTTTCTGTAAGGAACTATATGAATTGTTTCGTAGAAGAATTATATTCCTGGTAAGGAACTCTCCTTGCTGGCTTGTTTCCTTACAAAATTATGGGTTCCACAGTGTCCTGGCCTCTGCTGTGTAGTGACTTCCACAGCGGTTGCCAGACAAGGGCTGCTGACGTGCTTGCATCACCACCCTCACAGTAAAGAATTTTTTTCTGTAAGGAACTATATGAATTGTTTCGTAGAAGAATTATATTCCTGGTAAGGAACTCTCCTTGCTGGCTTGTTTCCTGGCCTCTGCTGTGTAGTGACTTCCACAGCGGTTGCCAGACAAGGGCTGATAAAGTGCTTGCACCTCACTCTGAGCAGCCCCGTGGAACAGCTGGTTTTACAGGCGTGAGGAACTGAGCACCAAGCGGAGTCAGGCGCTGGGTGGCTCAGGTGGCCTTTTTTCTCCCCGCTAGTGATGCCCGGGAAAGATGGCAAGGCGGCGTGAGCGGCCGCGGGGCCGAGGACAGCCGTGCCGACCAGGAGGCGAACGAGTGGGGCAGAAACGGAGGGGACCCCAACCGCTACCGACCTGCGGGCCTCCCCAAGAAATACTGACACCGCAGCCCCCTCGGGGGCCACGTCTGCTGCCCTGTTATACCGCCCCTCTGCAGCCCAATAAAGAGATTCTCCCAAAAACCGCCCCCGCTCGCCGCTGCCTTTCTTTTCTGCTCGGGCTGGGGTCTGAAGCCTCCGCGCCGGTTCCGTCCCCGCGGGGCGTCGTCAGAGCATCCCGGGGGGCACCGGCGCTGCCGAGGGGCGGGGGTCTCCTCTGGCCCCTCGGTTTCCCGGGGGGCTACTTTCCGCGGAAGGGGAGGCGGCGGCGCTCGAGGACGGCCATTACGGTCCCGGCGCCGCCTGCGGTGACCTCCCGGCGCCCCGCCCCGACAGGGGGCGCTGTGGGGCGGTGCCCGGGCGGCGCTCTGGCCGCCGCCTCGTTTGGCGCCCGCGCGGTTGAGGCGGCGGTGGCGGGCCGCCATGGACCGTAACCCCTCGCCGCCCTCCAGCGAGGCGGAGGAGGAGGAGGGCGGCGGTGGCGACGCGGTGGGGAACACGGTGTACAGCAAGCACTGGCTGTTCAGCATCCTCACCCGCCTCATCGAGGTGCGGGCCCTGGGCGAGCGGGGGCGCCGTGAGGGGAGAGGCCGGCGGGCCCGGTAGCGGTCGGCGCCCGGCGGGTGCGGGTCGGCGCGGGTTAGCGGGGACACACACACGACACGCCGGTTCCCTGCTTGCGTGTGAGGTTTATTTAAACTCTGAGTGAAGCGATAGGTCGTTGTTAGCGTTTCGTGGTATTTCTCGGCCGTAGTTCACGTACCCCCGTGTGCCCTGCTCCCCTTCGCATCCCCCCCCTCTGTTTTCCCTCAGGTCATCAGCCCCGAGAAGACGGAGCCCGCCGTGAGCCCCGAGGGGATCCAGACAGAGCTGGACGAAGAGATGGAGAATGACATCTGCAAAGTGTGGGACATGTCGATGGATGAGGTAGGAGTGACATGCGGGACTCAGACCTTGAGGGTGGTTCACAGCTCCAGGAGGCTTCTGCCCAGTTTCTGTTGCTGAGTGTGTTCAGGCAGAATCCTTCTGGCAGTGGGAGAAGACACAGAGTTAAATGGGCTCGGGCAGCTTTCTGATTTCGAGGGTGTTGCTTGTTCTGTGTTTTGGCTGATGATGTCCTGTGAGTCACTAGGCAGAGCAGGTGTGGTGAACTGGCATCACAAAGGCTGCTTTTCAAGAAAAGCAAGTATGTAGTGTGCACTCTTAGGCCCGAGTTTGCAAAAGCAGGCCTTCTGTTGCGTCCTAGCTGCTGGGTGCCGTGCTGCTGTTGGAGGATATAAAAGCAGAGCTGTGTCTAAATGTTAAAGAAACACAGTGGTCCACCAGACCTTCCCCCTGGTTTCTAATGGATCATGTGGTGCTGTTGCTTAGGGTCAGCTGGCATAAATGAGGCCATATTCACACCTGCTGGTTTTCTGTATTATGTGCAGGTGTTGAACCAAAGCTTGGAGCTATTAGAAAACAGTTCCTTAGCTGCAGCTGAAATTACCTCAGGTACACGGCTTGTATCTTCAGCAGTTTGATTATGGAGATAATGCTGATGCTGTCTCTGAATAGGCACATTTTCCTCTAGCAATTGTAATGCAACCTGCTAATAAGCCTAGTTTTCTCTGACAGATAAACAACCTTTTACACTTTAGCTACAGACACATAGTGGAAATCTAACATAACTTTTTGGTATTTTGCTCAACATTTTAAAATGCTGGAACAAATTCTCAAGTGAGATACATATATATTTCATTATTACTATTTTACTCCCTGGCTTTTTGCTAGGTATTTTAAATAAACATGGAAGATGTGCCCTTTACTCCTAAACAGAGGACTAATCTTGTGGTTTAATGTGGTAAAATGAGGAGGAGATTTGCTCTTTTATATGCTCTGATCAAGTGCTAATGGTAATCCCTTCCCTGGTACTTGCTGAATTCTGACTTAGGATCTCTGACCCCATGTTGAAACAGAGAGCAAAAGAAGCTAAATGTGGCTTTTTGGTTCATTGTATAGCAAATCTCTGAGATCCTGAGTCACCATAGGGGTTTGCTGATCTTCTCTCATCAAAAAGTAAGGATTATTGGTATTAACTGTTGAGAAATAACTGTTCTCTTGTAGTGAGTTTGACATCTCTTTGATCTAGTCCTTGTGCTGTGAGAAAAGGTTTTGTTTTGTGTTTGGAAATTGTAGAAGTTCATTTACTTCTCTATTCACTTTTCACAGGATGTCGCTTCGTTTCTTCAGGAGTTCAACGCCCCTGATATATTCATGGGAGTTTTTGCCAAGTCAAAATGCCCTCGCCTCACTGTAAGTAGGGGCTGTCAAAAAGCAATAGTAGATAGCTCTGTGCATTCATTTACACATACCTCCCTCCTCCTCTGTTGCATGTTTGAATAGGTTAGGGGAATGAGGAGAAAACATAAAAATCAAACTTTAAAGTGCTTTTTCGCGGAGTTTTTAATATAGTCTACTCAGTAAGTATTTCAGTGATGCTGAAGCTGGTATGTGTCATTACTGATGAAGGTATATTACATTACTGATGAAGTTTTAAGGCTTGCTATAAAAAACAGTAGTCTGGCTGTGGTGGGTTGACCTTAGCTGGATGTTGGGGCCCATTAAAGCCGTGTGGTGGGTTGACCTTAGCTGGATGTCAGGGGCCCATTAAAGCCACTCTGTCACTCCCCTTCCTCAACTGGATCATGCAGAGAAAATATAACAAAAGGCTCAGGGGTCAAGATAGGGACAGGGAGAGATCATTCACCAGTTACTATCATAGGCATAACAGACTTGACTTGAAGAAATTAGTTTAATTTATTACCAATAAAATATCATTATTGTTACCCTCTGCAGCTCCCCCTTGCTACCAGAACCTTGCTGTGCAAACCCAATACAACTGGCTTTCTTTTCTCATTACTTCTTTCATGATCAGAAATGGTCATGAATTTATTTAGTCAGACCTATAAAAGTAGTGTTGGTGGCTGGGAAATGTTAGACACCAGTACTTAAAGCATATTTTTTTCTTCCCCTTTTGTTTTGATGTCATTGTTTCAGAGCTTGTATTACACGGTGCATTGGCATTTAGGATTCAAGACAGGGTTTTGAAAGGTATACAGTGTTGGTATAACTCCTGTTTCTCTGAAGTTATCAGAAGCTTTACTTGAGGAGATGACTAGAGACACATAAGTCTTTGAAAGTTCAGTACTTTGTCTTTTGAAAGTACAGCCAAAATTTGGAAGTCAGTGCAATTCAGCTGTCATGGTGACTTTCTTGAAATAGTGTCTGCTGTAATTTCGCAGAGGTGATAGAATGTTAATTAGAAAGTTAACCTTGAGCGGTGAGGGTTGATTTCCAACTTAAAGTTGCTGAAAATGAGAGATTCCCAAATTAGCACCAGTCACCTGCAGGTGTTTCAGAGCTCTCACAATCCCCTTTATAGGAGCATGCATTCTTTTAATGATAGTCTAGGCATGAATATCCTAATGAGATGCACTGCTTTTGGTTTTGTTTGGTTGGGTGTTTTGTTGTTTGTTTGTTTTCTTTAAAACTGCAATCAGAAAATTACTTGGTTGGGTGTTTTGTTGTTTGTTTGTTTTTTTTTTAAAACTACAATCAGAAAATTATTACTCTACATTTTTTTTATGGCTTTACTGGAGGCTTATATTAGGACTCCTTTTTTTTGGGAGGAAGTGAATACCTGTGAGGGCACTTACATGGTGATATTTTTGTTCTTAGGACTCTTTATTGTTTTAATAGTAGGGATTCCAGATTAGCTTCAAAACAGTATGCATGGAATATGCAAACAATGTTGATTTCAACATGTGTTTGCTTTTATGGAACACCTTAACACTGAAATATCTGAATAGTACCTGTCATGAGTATGTTTTAGGCTAGTCTAATAGTGTCCTGTAGAAAAAAAAATAACACTGAAATATCTGAATAGTACCTGTCATCAGTATGTTTTAGGCTAGTCTAATAGCCTCCTGTAGAAAAAAAAATAATCTGTATTTCTGTCTTGAAATCAGTGGGTCGTAAGAACTTGGAAATCAAGCTGGAAAACATCTTTGAACCCTTCTTACTTTTGTCTTAAGGTTGTGGAAACAAAATTGTGAAGTATGTTGCAGTTGCTTAATTACACTGTGTTTTGACTTTTCAGGAAATCTGTGTGGGAATATTAGGAAATATGGCCTGTTTCCAAGACATCTGCATGTCCATTAGTAAAGACGAGAATCTGGGGTAAGTGTATGTGTGCTTTATACACGCACAAGTGCTGCTTTTCTGGACTCGCAATCATGAAATATAGGTTTGTCATCGATGGAGTGATGCGCTTCATGTGTAAGAGAGAAGCAGCAATATATTTATTGATATAAACCAGAGATTTAACAAAATTTGTTGGTAAATGTGACAGTGGTTTAACAAGATTGGATGGCAAGATTGATTTGGTTATTTACTGCATAGGGGGCAGGGTCAGACAAAACTGTCAGGGAGAGCCTCTGATTAAGTCACGAGATTCAGAGAGGACCCTGTCTCTGAATATGGAGAGAGAGATGGATTTGATAGGTGGACTGTTTGGTGGATGGAGAATTGGTTGGTTGGTGGCATCCAGAGTGTTGTGGTCAATAGCTCAATGTCCAGATGGAGATCGGTGGTGAGTCCTGTCCCTCAGGGGTCTATACTGGGACCAGTACTGTTTAATGTCTTCATCAACAACATAGACATGGGATCGAGATTCCCCCTCAACAAATTTGCAGATGATTTCAAGCTGAGTGGTGTGGTTGACACACCTGAGGGTGATCAGAGGGCTGGAGCACCTCTCCTAGGAGTACAGTCTGAGAGAGTTGGGGTTGTTCAGCCTGGAGAAGAGAGAGAAGGCTCCAGGGAGACCTTATTGCGGCTTTTGAATACTTAAAGGGGCCTTATAAGAAGGACAGGGACAGACATTTTAGCAGGTCCTGTTGCAATAGGACACAAAAGGTAATGGTTTTAAACTAAAAGAAGGGAGATTCAGACAAGATACAAGGAAGAAATTCTTTATAATAAGGGCAGTGAAACACTAAAACCGGTTGCCCAGAGAGGTGGCAGATGCGCCATCCCTGAAAAGATTCAAAGTCAGGTTGAATGGGGCTCTGAGCAACCTAGTTGAAGATGTCCCTGCTCACTGCTTGGGGGGAGTTTGGACTAGATGACCTTTAAAGGTCCCCTCCAACCCAAACCATTCTACGACTAATCTAATCTTGGTTTTTCTTCTTATAGCCAAGTGTTACTTCAACGTTTGTGTGATTCAGACTCTCCAACTCTTCTGGAAACAAGCAGGTAGGACATCTCAGAAATTAAAGCATCATTAGTGTAGTTCTGTTATGTTCTGAGGCCTGGGAAGAAAATTGACAAGTGGGCTCACTATTTTATTATCCTCTCATCCTATCTGTTATTTTCCCATTGTTCTAGACTTGATTTGTTGTGAGCTAGATTCCTGTTTCTGTCACATCATTCTCATTGGTTTGGATTTACACTTGTAGAGCTAAAACTATTTATACTTGTACATCTAAAATCAGTGAATTGGCTTCTGATTTGTTAAATGGGCAATTCTTGTCTAGGTTGTTGTTAACTTGCCTCTCCCAGCCTGAGGTGGCCAATGTCTGGGTTGAGAGAATCCGAGAAAACCCGTCTGTGTATGACTGTGTTTGCTTTATCATGTCCAGCTCTACAAATGGTAAGTTGCCAAAACAAGTTGGGAATCCGTGGGTGTTTGCAGAAAAAAATAAGAACTGAAGTATGTATTTTCAAGGACAAATATTTTCAATTGGGAATACAGAATTTCTTTAAAATAAAGTAAACCTCATGAATTTAAAGGACACGAAAATAAACTTGTCCTGCCTTTGTTGGTCTGTAAATGTATGGGAATATTTTAATTATTGTTTATTATTCACATCCAACTCAATTGTAACAACAGTTACCGTTTGTCTACAAATCCTAACGATTTAGCTTTTTCAGCTTGGTTGTGGGGTTTTTTATGACAACGCTCAGAAATGCTGCTCAGTCCAATTGAAATCACAGATCTTAAGCAAAATTGAAGATTGGCAGGTGTAAGGTTAACAGAGAAGTGCATGTTTAGGGACAAATCTTGGAAAGTCTTACTTCAGGTTCCTGAAAAGTCATAACTTCTGCTTCTGAAGTCTCTTTGTGGAATAAAGTTCCTGCTTTATAAATGACTGGCTTTCCAACAGTCTCTATTTATCCACCTCTTCACCTGATCTGGCTGCAAAAAGGAAATAAACATAGCAACCATTAGTAGGTCGTGAACAAAACTAATGTATTTCAGCACTTAATTTACTCTGAATGCTTTTATAAATTTGCATTTTGCGAGCTATTTTTTCCTCTTTGTTTCCAGTCTTGTTGGAATTTATGCATTCTCTCTTGTACAGTGGAATTGCTGGTAAAAGTGGGTGAAGTAGTGGACAAACTCTTTGATCTAGATGAAGAACTGATGTTAAACTGGATTAAAAATGGCACTTGTCGGTCTGTGGGACAGTCTGTGGATGATTCCCCAGAAGAACTTCCAGATTTTAAGATTGTGCCTTGTATACTTGAAGCCGCCAAACAAGTCCGGTACGTGGTATTTCTTTTCGGTTTCATGGCTGGGGAGACTCCTTACAGCCTTGTTAGGGCCTGTGTCTGAACAATTTGGTTTCAGTGAGAGCTGCATTGTTTGACAGGTACATTTCCCTGCATTTACTATTTGAAATGAGTCAACTAGCTTGTTTGCAAAGAGAATGGCAGTGATTGCTGATTATACTCTGGTTTTTGGACACACAGAAGACTAATTCAGTAATCGGATCTTTAATTTGTTGGTTTTTGTTTGTTCTGTGTAGGTCAGACAACCCGGAAGGACTTGATGTTTATATGCATATTTTGCAGCTCCTTACCACCGTGGATGAGGGCATTCAGGCTATCGGTAAGACACTTGAATTGCTACATATGTTAGGATCAAGGGGGCAGTAACTTCTAGATCATCAGATATTTAATGGGTAGAAAAATAATTCATGTACCTAGATTAAATTTGATGGGTTGGTGGGTTCTTTTTCTTTCTTTCTCAAGTGCAGGCTCCTGATGGAGGAAAAGAGACTTGGAGTTTGCTTTATGACCTCGTTTGTCATGAACTTTGCCAGCCAGATGATCCACCCATCATTGTGCAGGAGCAGAAGACTGTATTGGCCTCTATTTTGTCCGTGCTGTCTGCTATGTTTGCTTCACAGACAGATCAGGAGTACACCAAGATGAGGAAAAGCAAGTCTTGCTTTTTTCTGTTCTTTTTTTTTTTTTTTTTTAATTTTTTTTCCAATTTACTTTTTTGGGGGTGGGAGGGG